TAATTAATAAGAGAATAAGCCCATTATAATGACATTGTAAACACAAGCTTTCAATGAGAGCTTTTCGACAGTATACATTAATATACACACAACTTTTCATGACATTCTTCTAATATATCAATTACTCTTAAAAAGGATATTATTTATATTTACAGGGATTTACTAAGTTATTCAAAAAGACAAAACATAGAACAAAACAAACTGAGAAATTTCTATCACAGTTATTCCTCAGATAGTACCATAAATATTTACAATTGGTTTCCAAATAATACAACTTTTGATGATGTTTTTTGCCCAATAGTACAATCCATAAATTATATCATTTTCATAATGATTCCAATAACACCAAAACACAAAGATATAATTGTTTAGGTTTAAGCAGGCTTTCAGGGTCATCAAGTTGTTAATAATTTTAAGATACTTAGGCTACATTTCTAAGAATATTGCATCAAATATTTTAAGCACTGGCAACTGATGAAGTAAACTTTCCAATATTTCTAAAAATAATCAATATATTTCTTCAATTACTGGTACACTTATTAGATACATCTTCAAAAGATTTTCTTAATAATTTTGCATACATTGTTGTTTCAGTGAAACTTTTACGCAGCATCAACAAAGTAGGTTTGAGAAATTTTAATAGACTGCAATTGCCTGTTGAAAGAAAAAGAGACATGTTGACTTCTTTAATGAGGCCTTCTTCAGATTTCTTTTTTTTTTTTATGAAGTTACATCCACTATAATTCATCTACAAGAGAGCTCTCAGTAAGAATTCTCACTTAGGGGAAATAATTTCGCAGTTATTGTAAAATGTTCTGATCATAAAAGATTCTTGCATGTTTATTACTGTAACAACATTCCTGGTTGTTTTAAAACCAAAATGATATAAAGCTTATTTTTAATGCTACACATATTTCATAGTTCAATATATACAAACAAGTACAGAGCACTTTTTGTTTACTTTGGTCCACTTAGGACAACATACTTCATGAACAGTGACATGTTTAAGCTGCTAAAAATATTACTACATTAAGATTTTGATTAATAAGAATTCAGACAGTCACTTCTATTAATTTTCACTTAAACTCGCATCATGTTAAGATAATAGCATCACTACATACAGGAACTTGGTCAGGATATGGTTCTATATTTTTATCACCTCTACTGACTGACAGGTAAGTATCTGTAGCAAAGAAAAGAGGTAAAAATAATTTCATCATATCAAATTTAAGGAATGAAAATTTAATAGCTCAATTCATATAATTTGTTTTATTACCTTTGATTTTTCACATGCATGTTTTTGTGTCAAAAATACAGAATTGGTTTAACTTAACTTTTTGCTACATGCCACGAACATTATTTCTGCTGAGAAGCAATGTCCCAAACTATATCATCATAATTCTAACTACCAAAGTTCCAGATTTAGAAAGAAAAAAATGTTTTTTTTGGGAGAAATTATCAAAGTATCTTGTATTTTAAACATTGTTTATTTCAATAAACATTCCAATAAATTTTCATTAGAACCTGACTAAATTAGAATTATAAACAAATTACTAGTATATTCTACTTTAGCTTGTTTGTATCAGTGCAATTGTACACATTGGGCTATCTGCACTCTGTACACCTTTGGGAATCTAACCCCAGATTTTAGTATTGTAAGTCTGTAAGTTTACCCTGACCCACCAGAGAGCTTTACCATGCTGTTGGCATCTTTCTAATTTAATTTGGATGCAATGAAAATTAAATTACAAGATTCATTATCTTATTTGGTCAACTGCTAGTTAGTTTTTAAGCTTTTGTTATATTTAAACAGGAAATCTTAAAATGAAAAAAATTATATATATATAGAGAGAAATATACATTTTTCTTTATCTTTTCCTGTAATTGGGTCTACAATATTAATGAATATCAGTTCTTCCCTTTTTACAAAATAAAAGCTTTGAGACAGCTTGACAGTGTATTGAAAAAACTTCATTATATATGTACCTGAATAAAACAAAATCTTGTTGAAACATTGTACATTTATAATAAAGTTTTTTCTTTATCCAGTCAAGCCATCTCAAAACTTTTATTTACCTCTATCATCTACCAAACTGCTAAAGGGATAAGCAATTGCTAGTTACAAGTAAGTAATCACTGAAGACTTTCTCTATAAGCCACTATGGTGTTGTAGCAGGTGTTTTAGCCAGCAACCATTCACCCGTCTTTTGTATGGGCAGTTGTCTATCAAGACAGGCAAACAAACTTGTAGATCAATAAAAATAAAAAATTAATTTTTGATACAACAAAATACATTTGTGTACAACACAGAAACATAAAATATCTTTGTTCTTTACCATTTAATAAAGTATTTGATTTCTTTTGCTGTTCTCTTGTGTATTGTTTTCAAACATTGATATCAATCAGTACTTTGACTTTTGGTGCTTCACTTCTGACATGATTGCAAATGATAATTTTTGAACAGAACTTTAACAATGTCTGGATCAGAGGGGGGTGTAACTAATATCCTCCGATTTATTTCTTTTCACAGTGGCAATACCTAACAAAAAATGCATGACACTTTGGACAAACATTCCAAATAGTATCTAGTTTTGAATTTAAAAAATCATGTAATTGTATTTGTTTCATTTTGTAGGTTGTGAAATTTCCAAAATGTTGTTTGGAGACAAAATGTTAAAAATATTTCTTTTCAAATTAGAATTAATTTTTTTCTTAGTGTTTATAAGAATGTTCCATTTTATATATCCTGTCAGCTTTAACTGGATTGACACTTAACATATTTCTTTATACTTTATTTTGCTGATCATAATAATCACCAATTCAGTCTTTAAATCACAAAAAACATGGTAAAAACTGACCAAGAAATCACTGACAATAAATGTCACTTTTGAAAATGGTATCACCATTACCTTTGTGAGGCTAGGTAACAACACTTTTGGTCAAGATGATTCATCTCCCGCAAATATACCTTATTTTCATTAAATCATAAATAAATTTATTGATGTATGTAGTTTGAATATAATAAACTTAAAACTAATATTTAATAAATAAGGATACGAATCATTAGAATATTTTACTGTTGTTACTGTATAGTTCATTAGAATAAGCTATAGACATGTCAACATTCCAAATTTCTCCTTTAATGATGCACTAAATCTTTTTTTTTTTTTGAACCACAACATAGGATATAATGATGTCCAACTTTAACAAATTCCGCAAATATAGAATTCTTGATTTTCTTATACAAAAAAAGGTAAAAATAAATAGGTATAAAAACTGTTAAATTCCTATGAAATACTTATTAGAAATTTACCAGAATGATTCTCAGAGCAGCTAATGGGCAATTTTCAAGCCCTGGCTATTAAATGCCCTGCACTACAAAGGATACTTGAAATTTTACAGCTAGTTCTAAAAAACATAGTCTTGCTACAGGTATAGTTACAAATGGACAATCAATCAAACAATAGCCATGGATTACAGTTAATCATGTGTTCTTGAGGAATGAAATGTCCAATTGTTTTCTCAAACTATAGTTTTTGGTTTATTCAAATTATCTTTTATACTTTTTAATTTGTTCCTTAAAAGAGCTAAATCATTTTTATTTTAAAAATAAAAGGGTTGAGGAGGTACCTTTAACAGAATACCTCATGAAAACCATACCATTTGTACCAACCTTAACCCAATAATTACTCTAATTAAAATATTTATAGATACATACTACAAAACACACCACCAGATTAGGTTAACATGTTTCTCTTCCTTAGTGAAAATGTATTGCACATTTTTGCACCAATGGAAACACCTGACAAAAAATATATAAAAGCAGATTGATGTTCTCTAAGCAACAGGTAATTCCCATTTTTCCATGTACTGTCAATAGCCAATGAACCAAATATTTTCCATTATACATTTGCTACTATAAATGCAAATTTATAATCATGGCTATGTGAGTGCAAGTTTTTTAACAATGATGTCAGTATCCAATTAATTTGAT